TACCCACATTCAGAGCAAGGAGTCACGAAAAGCAGATTATCCCTGAAGTGTTGTGCTTCAGGCCATAGTTCCTTTGCTTATTTGCTACTTGACAACCAAAATAGCAATTTCTTTTACAAGTAAAGTAAATAAAAAGTTGCATTTGAATCAGCTGAGATATTGGATTCCCATTTCACTGTGCCAGTCTGAACCTGCTGAAGGGTGATTTACAGTAAATAGAAACTCTACTCTTGGGGACAGATTGGGCATAAATGTGACTTCAGTTGTTCACTTACTACATAGCTGAGTTCTCTGTCTCTGCCAGGCTCTGATTAGTCAGGTTTCCTTCATTATTTATAAAAGCAAAATGCCATAAAAATGTCATTTTCACTGCCTAAATCATAACATTTTCCATAAAAACCTTCTGCTGTAAGGTCCGAGAGAATATTCGTGCCCAAGCTCTGACAGCCTGGTACAAATATGTCTTCATTTCCACCACTGGGGTCATTCCAAAAGTTTGAAGTCACCAAAAGTGTAATATTATATTTTGTTTCTAAGCTTCTGTTTCAGTCAGGAATCTCAAAACCAAGACAGGATCAAAAATTTCCCATGGAAACAGGAGGGATCAAATTAATCTGTGAAGTAATTTAACAGGATTCCATGGATTTATAGCAGAATTGGGGTTATATTTAAACCTCCAGGAGTTCAAAGCACACTCCTGTGTATCCCCATGTCCTGCCCATCCCTGTGCCCAGTTCTGAGCTGGGCTGGGTCCCTGCAGAGGATATCCCAGCCCAGAAACACTTCCCTGTGCTTTGAAACAAAATACTCACAGTAAGAAAAAGTATTAGTTGTGATTTTATGTGACCAGATCGAAGAAATTCTGGATTTCCTTCCTGTTTGTGCCTTGCCACAAGGAAAACCCAAGCTCAGCTCATGGAATATCACCTCAATCCTGGACTTTGGCACCACAGATCCAGCTTGTGGTTTGATTTCTTCCAGGGTTTCCTCATCCCTGAACCTGGACAGATGGGACCATCCCCTTCCTGAGCACTTTGTGCCTCCCTCACTGGCTTTGGGGTTTCAACACCCAATTTATGATTCAGGTGCTCGAGGTGGAGCTCCAGGTGTTGTTTCCTTGGCTGGATTCCAAGGATGCTGCTGGGAAGGTTTGGGATGATGTGCTTTTGGAGTCCCATCACTGCCAAGAGACTTGGTCCCATGAGAGGGCTCTTTCTGCTGAGGAATTTAAGCACTAATGTGCTTGCCTGTGTTCAGAACACACACCTGCTACTCTCTCTACCTGTTTTTCCCACTTCCAACTTTCTCATTCAAAGTTCATTTTCCTTTCTCCTCCAGATTCCTCCTTAAAACCTCTTGCTTTGTGAACACTCAGGAGTTTTCTTCCTTATTGTAGCAGTGTTTTGATGGGGGGTTCTGGTCTTCCTTTAAACCTATAAAGACTATTTAATTTTCCTCCTGTGAACCCTTGGATAACACTTGCATCTTCGGTGTTCCCCGGGTGTCACCCATGAAATGCAGGTACAAATAGATATTTGCAAGTGGTGGTGTGGAAATTATTCAGGATTATGAATCATGCTGAAAAATACTATTGGAAAGCTGAGCCTGATGCTATTAGTCATCCCACAGTAGCAGAGTGAATTGTGGGCTCAGAGAGATGGAATTCAGTGCACAGTCTCCTTCTGCTTCTGTCATGTGCAAAACAGCATCTAAACATCTCTCTTTTTTTGCTATTATTAGTAAAATGAGTAAATTCTGAAAAGGGTTAATGGACATTTACCCTCTCCCCTCAATTCTTGTCATCAGTGAGAATTAATGAAGACATTATTAAAGAAACCTGATGTTTCCTTTTTTCACTAATTAGTCCCAGTCAATCACACTGAGTTTTCTGATCACTGTTTCTGTCCCCCCTGTGCAAGTGACCTGGGCTGTCAATGGAACATCCATATTTTCCCAGCTGGTTTAGAGTCAAAAGACACTGGATCTGAACTTGTTTTTTCATGTCACATCCAGGGCTTTGGAGGAGAGTTTTGGCAGCCTTCCCCTGGGCACAGAGCCTGTTCTCAGAGTTCTCTCCAAAGCATTAAGCATGGAAATAAGCAGCTAAGAATTTTCCAGTTTAGCTCAGGTCCTATGTACATCCAGAGCAACAGAAGCACAACCACAAGTGGAGCATAAACCCTTCACGTGGCCAGGCTGCAGCAGAGCCTGAACTGGGGAAACTGGCACAAACTGGTCCATGCTGGGCTCACACCCCTGATATGGGGGAGAGTGACTGAGAAAGGAGCCCACCAGGAAGCTTAGTGTAAAGAAGGTTTGCCTGGCTGCCTAAAATCAGAGGCAGGCTCAGAAATCTCCTAAAATCAGAGGCAGGCTCAGAAATCTCCTCGGGATTTACTCTGAAATCCTTGTTGCTTGTAGGAAACCATCAAGGCCACTGTGATACAGAGAAACACTTTCATTTTCTCTCTTCCCTTCAGGGGCAGATTCCTTGGCTTGTCCTGTGGAAACTGCTTTAGTGAGGGGCTGAAATAAGAGATGGATAGTTAGATAGATAGATAGATAATAGATAGATAGATAAATAGATAGATAAATAGATAGATAGAGTGTCCATTGCCCATTTTTGGGTGCTTTTCTCCTGACAAATACTGAAGAAGTGCTCCAGAGCATCTATTCTTTAGGGGGAAAAAAATCCCTGGGAAGCTGAGGATAATACTATCTTACAGAGAATATGATCTGGAAAAAATCCTGAGGCAGAGCAGGGATGAAGAAAACCAAATTGATTCCTGATGTGTCTTGGAGGATTTCAGTCCAACTCTTATGAAACTTAGTGGGAAACTTTCCTTCTCTTTAAAGGGAGTTGGGCTGGTCCTCAGGGTATCCCCATAACAGAGCAGTTGCAACTGGTAGTAGACAGAGAACTAAAACATGTAAAAAGGTTTTATTAGAGGCGAGAGACTGAATTGTGGCAAAGCTGTCAGGTTTGCTGAGGATTAACAGTATATCAAATTTAATGATTCCTCTTTTTTTATTCCTGAATTGATGAAACCTCAGACACTCCATTGTACTCCTATTTCATGGGTAGTTTTAGTCAGGAAAGTTATAGAACTACTTAATATCGGAGCCATGAGCAGGCAGGAGTCTTGACTTGGAGCACTGAGCTCCAGTTCCTGGGAGAACTGCATCTCATGGGGGCTGGAGCTGCTTGGAAAGCAATTTTTCCTTCCTGTGTTTTACCAACTTTTCAGGGTTTCCTAGAGCAGATGCACATTCCCAGGTAATTTATGCTGACTGAAAATTACATTTTCACAGAATGAGACACCCCCATCTCAAGCATCTCTCTGAAATGCAATTATCAGCCCCGAAAATACCATTTACATTTTGATTACCATCTTTATAACAGAGAGCATCTGAGCCTAAATTCTATTTGAAATGCCCTGTGAAATCTGTTGTGTTAAAAATCTCAAGCCCTTTGCTTATTTTAAAAAGTTAACATTAAATATATTAATATATTCCCTTAAGAGCTTTTTTCCTCAGATATAAAAATGATCATTCACCTTAAATAGTGACACAGGGCCCTGCAATGCTGAGCACTGGGGGAATGGCTCTACAGTCAAGTCAAGCTTCAAATTTTAATCTCTCCCAGAGCCACATCCTGTTTTCAGTTAACTGATCTCATCAAGGGGAAATCTAACAGAGGAAATCTCTCTAGTTTGGAAAGTACCAAACCTTATCTTCGGTTCCTTTGTGTAATTCAGCACCTCTGAAGGCAGAGGTGTCCTAGAATCACAGACACTTCTGAGAAGTCTCAAAGCAGGAGAAAAGGAGTGAACTGAGAGCCCAGAGAGCTGCCTCTTCATCCCCAAACAGAACCTGACCCCCTGGTGTGTAATCTTTCTAAATTTAACATCTCACACCTCTTTATAGCCCCAAAGCCGAAAAAGCCACATCCAGAAATCTTTTAAAAAAACTCTTTCAGAACCTCACTCACGTCCTTGCAGAAACTGCCTGGGCCAGATGAACTTGCCATGAATTTTAACAACACTAATGAAAGCAAATGGTTCATTGAGGGGACTAACTGAGGCTGTCTCACACTTTTCTCAGGTGATACAGGGCCCTGATGACTCTGCACTGCAGATCTGCCTCTGGATCTACAGCAGACCAGCACCTACAAATAAATTTACAGCCCAGAGAAGCAGAGAGAGGGAAGTGGAAATGAAGAGCCTGTCTGTGCACACACAGCACAGGAAGGGGCCAGACTTCGAGCAAACACTCACTGATGTCCAACAACCCCTCGCACAGTCCCAGGTACCTGGAGATGGTCACTGTTGTCAGTGCAGCTGAGTGAAGGCCCTAGAGAGCCACCTCTGCCTTTGAGTTTTGATTTTCAGCAAGAACCCGCCCTCAGGGATATTCCCCAAGTCTCCTTCACAAGGAAAAGTGAACAGATTTGCATCTGCCACTGCTTTTCTGGCTGAATCCTCGGTCAGAACTTAGACAAGGTTACAGCAAAGTGAGCTCTGTCAGGGGTGAGGAGGATCCTCTGCTGATAGTGAAACCTGCCTTTGTAGAATCTTTACTGCATTCTTAGAAGGATTTGCATATGTTACTGAACTCCCTTGAGTTATCCTGTAACTCATAGCCCCGTATGAGTTCCGATCTGCATCGAAGGGGGAGGCACAGCGGGGTTGGAGGGGGAGGTTTCCCGTAGGTCCCAAAGAGTCCAGGCTCCCGTCCCGTATTTGGGGCAGGGGCTCCCCCGAGCAGCCAGGGCTGTGCAGGGATATTTTGGGCTGTGACCGCACTCTGGGCAGGCAGGACTTTCTGCCCGAGTGCCCGTGCCGGGTCACCATGTCAGACGGCACCTCACCCCGCTTTCAGGAACCAGCCGCCAGCTTCTCCCTTTCTGCTGTCCCGGGGGGAATTCGCTCCCCGGGGCATTTCCTCGGCCACTTCCCCGTCCCCGCGGGCCGGGACTGCGCCGGAGCGGGGGAAGCCCCGCGGGTGCGGTTCGCGCTCCCCGCTCCTCCCGGCCGGGGCGAGGCAGCAGCGCCGGGATCCGACCGAGCGGCATCTCCCGTGCCCGCGGGGAGCGCCGGGCCCAGGTACGGGGAGGGATGCAGGGGAGAGGGAGGGACGGAGGGGAGAGGGAGGGAAGGATGGAGGGATGAAGGGATGGAACCCGCAGCCCCCCCGCGCCTCCCACCGCGGGGACCCGCCCGCTCCCTCCGGGGACACGGGCCCGGCCCCGCAGAGAGCCCCGGGAGGGCAGCGGGGGCTGCCCGGGGGTCCTGCCCGCTCTCCGCCCCGCTGAGCTCGGGTGGGGCCCCGGGGACCCCCCGAGCCGGGGCTGCGCGTTCCCGATATCCCGGGATGGCTCCGAACGGGAACTGCGGCCAGGAGAGGGGGAGGCTCGTCCTGGGCTCCCACCCACGGCCCGCACCCCAAACCCACCCACGGTCCGCACCCCAAACCCCCCCACGGCCCCGCCAAGGCTGCGCTGCCGGCTTTGGTTTGTAGCTCTGGCAGGTTCTGCAGCTCCTGCGTTCGCTGCGGAGCTCCCGCCAAACGCCTGCAGAGGCCGCGGGGATGGGCTGGGCTGAGCCAGGCCGTGGAAAACGCGGTTTGTTCCCAAAGCAGAGCCCGAACCCCAGGGCCCTACCCCTACCCCAGGCCTGGCCTGCCCCAGGCAGCCTCGATTCATTTTTTTCGGGTTTATTAGTCACCGTGGCTTCTGGTAATACTGAGATAGGTTATGGTGTGTCAGTATTGTCACAGGGGAAAAAAAAAAGCTTTGCCAAGGCATTATTATGATCAAACTGCACCATGTCCCTGAGTGAAAACCTTCCTTGAACTTTCCAAGAGACACCAGAATCCTTTTTGGCTGCATTTCCAAAAACATCCCACTGCTCCCCCCTTGTTACCCAAACCATACTGGAGGTGCAGGACACCTTGGCACGTGTGGCTCCAAGTGTAGCTGGGAAGAGCTCAAGTGTTAAGAATTTCTGGACTTGAGATTTCCTTTGTCCTTTTTCCTTTATGACTTCAGGAGAATCACTGTCCACTCACCAGTTGCTCAGTTTCTGTACCTATGAAGTGACATCACAAATTTTGGCTGCTGGGAAGTGAATGTGATTGGGGATTTACTCTACAGGAAACAACTCTGTGTGATGGGGACCGGTGGGATTGTAGCTCATCTTCCTACAAGCTACAAAAACTCTGGAAAGAAAACCCCAACCGCTCATTTTAATACATTGTCCATTTTCATGTCGTGCTTGAGGGAAATTTTAGATCTGTGCAGTAATTTCCTGCTGGTACCTGGTCAAACCCCACTGTGACATTTAGTCAGAGCCAGTCAAACACATCACTGCCACTGCTCTGGGCTGGAGCTGCTCGCGGGCTTTGATGCCTGATACATCCTCTCACATCAAAGTGAGGACTTGCCTTGTTTGAGCACCTGCTTTTTTTAACTTGCCTCTGACAATATTCACCCCAGATGGCTGAGAACACGAGCAGGGCCCTGCAGGACGTGCTGGGCTCTTCTCCTGATGAAAACGAGTTTCCTGTTGGATACCCCACCACCATCTGTGAGGACGTGCCTGGGCAGAAGTACCTGTGCAGCAACTGCAACAACATCCTGAAGAAGGCCCTGCAGACACTGTGTGGGCACAGGTACTGCTCTGCCTGCCTCGCCTGGATCGTCCGGTACGTCCCTGGGCAGGGATTCCATGGATACAAGGGCTCCCGGGAGCTGGGTCATGGCACTGAGCTCAGGGACAAGGCTCCAAGAGCTCCTGGGAGCTGTCACTGAGCTCAGGGACAAGGCTGTGGCTCCACGAGCTCCCAGAGCTGTCAGGGAGCTCAGGGACAAGGCTGTGGCTCCAAGAGCTCCTGGGAACTGTCACTGAGCTCAGGGACAAGGCTGTGGCTCCAAGAGCTTCCTGGAGCTGTCACTGTGCTCAGGGACAAGGCTGGGGCTCCAAGAGCTCCTGGGAACTGTCACTGAGCTCAGGGACAAGGCTGTGGCTCCAAGAGCTCCTGGGAACTGTCACTGAGCTCCCTGGAGCTGTCACTGAGCTCAGGGACAAGGCTGGGGCTCCAAGAGCTCCCAGGAGCTGTCACTGAGCTCAGGGACAAGGTTGTGGCTCCATGAGCTCCCTGGAACTGTCACTGAGCTCAGGGACAAGGCTCCAAGAGCTCCCCAGAGCTGTCACTGAGCTCAGGGACAAGGCTGGGGCTCCAAAAGCTCCCTGGAACTGTCACTGAGCTCAGGGACAAGGCTGTAGCTCCCTGACCAAGTCATTTTACACTCTGGGAGGACTTCCCTTGCTGGACTGCAGGATACCCCCTGCCTCTTCCTTCTTCCCACCATGGAATGTGCAGGGTGGATGCTGGGCCTGGCAGGTGCCAGTTTTTCTACCTGTGACATAATAATTCTGATTTAACCTTGGCTCCTCCAAGATTTAACCTTGATTAAGTGATTTAACCTTGATTAAGTGCTTTACCCTTGAGTTAGTCTTTCCATGGGACTTACAGTCCCTTGACAAGAGACATTCAGGATTTTAACAAACATAATGTCTTATATATCTTTGTATTTGTCTTGGCTAAATAGGAATTTTCTGTGTTTTAAAAGACTTTAGTTTTCATGTTACCTCCCCTACATGGGGTTCTAATTGACGAGATAAATAGTTTTCCATCTTTATTCTTGTTTATGATCCAGGGTGCTCTTGTTTTACTGAATCAGAGATAAATTTATGGGCCTGGGCCTGGTCTAGAAGAACAGAAAGCAGAGTTTTTTTATGTCAGCATGTTCAAGAATTGGCCCTTTCCTGAACAAGGACTATGGATTCTGAGTGGAAATTACAATTTCCATGGGTTTATTTGTGTCAGTGCCTATCCAGGGACCTCCTAAACTACAATACACTGATGGACTGTATTTCGTTCTTGTTTCTTTTTACCAGAAACAACAAAAATGCAATTTGCCAGAAATGTAAGGAGGAAGATCCCAACATTTTAAGTGAGGAAAGCCTACTGGCAGAAGAAAGGGTAAGTTGTCATTAATTTATTATTATCATTATCTGGGCTACCCTGGAGTTGAGGAGGGAATAATATAAAATGTGATGGCAGCTGATTTTAACTTGGGCTTTAGTCATTTGGATTTCCCACCCTTTGTGATTTAAAAAAAGCAATGGCAGCCTCAGGATTTTCCAAGTCCATATTCTGCACTGTAAAATCCCACACTCTTCCATATAATTAACTTTTTATTACCTCAAAGTACCTGGTGCTTTCCTGCTTGTAATAAGATGTCTGAGCTGTTACTTATTATCCTTGGGAAGTATCCTGATGGATTTTCCAACCTTACAATTGTACCGTTTTTCATGGTTCACAAAATGCAAAAATCTATCTAGTGCAAAAAAAACAACCCCAAACCACCCCCACGTGGTTCACATTTCTTTTCTTTAGTGCCCAGTAAATGGAAACAGCCCCATCTGAGAAACCGAGTCCTCTCTGCAGCACGTTAAGAGGTGTTAATGACCTCGATAATTAAATGCATTCATTAGGAGACCCCGTAGTCAGGCTCCTGTCAGCACATTCTGTTGCATGGGACATATTTCAGGCTTCTGGGAAAAGGAATGTAAAATAAGAGCTGTGGTGGGCTGGGCATATTTTCAGTAAATTTAGAACACATCAAGTAGCTTATTTTTTAACAGTAAGGAATTATTTAATAATTATTTGGGTTTCTACCACGCTAAGATTAACTGGCTGGGTTACAGAGTCTTATGGCAGTACAGTAAATTTAAAAAAAATAATAAAGGATAATCAAAAGAATGGATTACTTTCTGACCAGTGTTTTTTTTTTCCTTACTCTGTTTATTTTCCAGGCTTTTGGTGATGCTGCCATTAATAAAGAGATTTCTGAACTCAAAGTCCACTGTGTGACCCTTGGATGCAGTTGGTCTGGTATCATGAAGGATTTTGAAGTATGTTTAAAGATGGTTTATTTAGATTAACATAATGTCTTACTAAAAGGGGGGACAGAGAGACAATGAAAGCAGGTTCTCAGCAAACACAGATTAATGTAACATCATTAGGATCAGTGAGAGCACTGGGATTTATACCAACAAAATACCTAAAAACATATCTCCATCATTCTTTTCAGGCTGATCTGCCCCAGGTAAAACATTTAAATGGGCAAGATTTGGGAATCTGCCATGCAAGTTAGAATAGTGGATACAAGGGGGAAAGCTGAGACCAGTTATTGAGTTATTGCTAAAGAAAAGCACTTAAGAGAGAAAGTCCGAGGCAGATCCCGTGTTTGAATTTATCAAAAGTTGTTTGGTTTTGGTTTTGGCTTTTTTTAAAGTTAAGAATTACCAAAAAAAGCCCCAGTAAAGCTGGTGAATTTTTCACCAGTAATCTCATAACTCTGTGCAGTGGGACTTTACCCAAGCTTAGAAGAAATGCAGCTCAGGGCTCTGGGCTGCCAGAACTGGGGCTATTTATAGAGAGATGTGAATCAGCATTTTAGTAACCAGTGGTTGCTTTATAACTTTTGACTTCCAGGAGCACCAGAGCTTATGTGAATATGCTTTAATCCCCTGTCACACTGGTTGTGGGCACGTGGTGATGAGGAAAAAACTGGCAGATCACTTGGAAAAGGGCTGTGTCAATAATGTGACCGTGTGTCAGCAGTGCCAGCGCAGCTTGTCCAGCACTGAATACCAAGTAAGAACAGTTCTCTCTCAAATTAGGGCTTTGTGCTCTTATCTTAAATAATCTATCATGCCATTTTCCCATCCTGATTTCACTGCACTCGAAGGATGTTTAATTTTCCTGAGTTTTCTGATTTTTTTTTTTTCCTAGCAAAAATGAGCTGGATGTTGGAGGGGAAAATGAGCTGGATGTTGGAGGGGAAAACTGAGCTGGATGTGATAACCTGCTTCCCCAAAGAGGGAAGTGCCTGTGTGATCCCCCAGGGCTGAGGCAGCCCATGTTATAGCTCTGGAAAGAAAACCCCAATCCCTCATTTTCAACCTCAAAACACATCCCAGTATGAGGTAGGGGAGAAGCAGAAGAGCACAGACAGTGGCAGGGAAGAGACCTTGGAATTGGCTGGAATTTTATTCAAATTAAAACTACCCACAAATTTATAAGGCAGGGCTGTCAGATATTATTTCTATTAGGTGCAATCAGGTATAATCTCCAAATTATCAGCAGTGTCAATAACAGACCAGGAAGGTCGTACTCTGAATCTGCCACAAATTTCCCAGTGACTATTTAAACTTATTTACCTCAGAGTTTTTATGGTGTTTGCTCAAAATAATGGATGTTGTTCCCTCCAAATGATTTAAAGAGAATAATTGCCAGCCTTGGAGTTTTGTCCTGGGATGGGGGCAGAGTGATCCAAGACCCACCTGGCAGGAGGGCTGGGAATATTTTGAAGGTGTTAAACAGCAGTGGGCAGCTCCAAACTGTCAAAATTTGATGCCTTTCCACATATTGAGCTGTGAGATTTATTCAACGAGGGGGTAACAGTCTTCTGGGGTAAGAATAAGGTGCTCTGCTAAAACCTGCTCCTTGGGAAGCTTTTGCATGTGCTCCTCACACCTCACCAACTCCTACAGAGCAAGAAAAATACCTGGACCCAGGCGGCTCTTCCCAGAGCTAAATCCAGTGTGTTTTCCAGCTTAAATACCAGAAGGTGGCAACACTAAATCCCTCTCAGCTCTCTGTGAGCGCAGCCTCGGGCTGGAGGGGGAAACCTGAGCCCGGTGTGCTCCCCCAGCACCTTTCTCCTCTCGGAGCTCTGATACCGCAGCTCCGGCTCGGCCCCTCCACCTTCCTCGCTCGAGAGCTGTTTTCCTCCCACTCATTCCGGTTCGCTGCCACCTAATTAATTTTTTGGTCAGGAAACCTTGGCAACCGAGCCGGGGGGTTGGCCCGGAGATGTTGCTTTTTCTCTGCCTCCTTTTAGTGTTTGTAAAATCGGAGCGTTGCTCGTTGCATGCTCTGCTTTATTAACTTCGCAGTGAAGTGGCTTGAGAATGTTGATTATTTGTGGGTATTCTATGTGTCCACAGCCCTCTGGGAGCTAATAGTAGGTTTTGGGGCACTGCTCTCCCTCTCTCCCTCTCAGACACTCACTTATGGGTCTCGTGATTTTTGCATTTCTCTATTTTAAAGAAATTTCTCTCCAGCCCCTTCCCCCCTCGAGATGTGAAGCCGTCTCCTCAGATCGGTGACCTGAAGGAGGAAAAGAGCAGAAAGGAAGGAAATAAAGGCATATTTTGTGCAACAGCAAGATAAAGAGTGTTAAAAACCGAGTTAGAGAGGGAGAAAATCCTGTGGCTGCATTTCTGAGAATCGAATAGGAGCTTAGGACTGGTATGAAGAGGAGTTTATAAAGATTAAAGCCAGTCCCCCCTGAGCAGTGTGAATGGAGAGCTGACAGCTGCTGTGTTAAATACAGATATTCCAGCTATGAGCCAATGGCAGGGGAATTACCTTCCCCTTCTTGGAGCCAGGAATGGCAGGAAGCCTCCTGTTAGTGGTGGTGCATTTTGCATTAGCAAAATTTGGATTCCAGCCCTCAAAATGTGCATAAGCAGGATGCAAGAAGGGTCTGCACATTGAGCAAATTACATGAAGTCAATGCAAGGAGAGTTTATATTTGAATTTGACTTTATGTCTGAGCTTCCTGTTCTTGAGCTTGTTTATATTTATATATATATATGTGTGTGTGTGTATATATTTGAATTTCCTGTTCTGTTTGTCAGTGTTGCTTCCTGTTCTGTAACACACCTGCTTGTCATTGCACATATGTGTGTGTACATACATGTGTGTGTGCACAGAACTATGGTTTGAACCTGGCAAGACTTTTACATTGCCAATCTTCTATCCAATATCCCAGGGGGACCCTGCAGGTCAATAATTTAATCATGTACTGAATTCTTTTCTTCTGGTTTTAATGACAGGAGCATTCATGTGAAGACAATTTCTGTAAGGAACAAAACCACGTGCAAACAGAAACAGCATCCAAGGAAAAGGTGGGTAAAAGATGAGTGACTGCAAGGCAGTTTTATTTCAATTAATAAAATTATCACTTGTTCACATTGATTAAAGAGCATCTGAGAACATCTTCAGGTACAGCAGTTGTATCTGGCTGCTCTTTACATGCCAGCAAAGCTCTGCTGCCTTCTCTTCCCTGCTCCCACAATTAACTTTAGCAAATTATCTTCTCAATTAATCATATAAAATGGGGAAATACTTGTTGCCTTTCACATACTCAGGGAGACCCCCATGAGAAAAGAGGAGTGTGCTGTAGAGCAGGGTATTTAAAGTATCTTATTTATGAGAAGCTGTGGTTTATTAAATTGTGCTGTGACATTATGGGGTCTGTTGGATGGATACTTCACCGTGCAAGAAACTTGCAATCAGCCACCTCTTAATTGATTTACCATCAATTTTCAAAGCTGGTTGGACACTGTGGTAATGCCCTGACTTGAGTGAACCTGATTTATGGCTGCTGGGGTTGTGGCCCAGGTGTTTGTAGGGAAATAAAAGAATCACTTTCAATAAATATTTGATTATTTTCTCTCTCTTTTTTTTATTTTTCCCAACAGAGCCTCTCTACCCCCTCAGCCAACAAGGATGGCTGTCGCTTTTCTGAAGTGGGCTGTTCATTTAGGGTGAGTGAAATGGAAACAGAAACAGCACTTCTTTGCATTTTAGTTGCCTTGTGTCATCTTTTCTGCAGAGTTTTATGTGTTAAATATTGGCTTATCTGGGAATCTCGCAGGGACTCTGCCTGGCATCCTGTTTAATACCCAAATTGCCACCAATTGTTTTATTTTTTTGTGTAGCACATGTACATGGTTGGACTTGATGAACTTGAAGGTCTTTCCAGCCTTAGCAGTTCTCTGATTCCACACGTGTAGCCTGAGCTGAGAGGGCTCCCTGTGCCTCCTCTGGTGCCAGCTGATGTAGCTGCACCCGCATCTTCCAGGTTTTCCACCTCTGCCTCTCCCAGGAAGCCACAGAATTGCTGGATTTGGCCTCACCCCATCCACGGGGTGGTTATAGAGAGTGTATTAACAGTGTCACCTTCTTCCAGGGAGGCAAAGAGAAGATGAAGGAGCACGAAAAATCTGCAGTTGGGGCCCACATGCTGCTGCTGCTGCAGCACATGAGGCAGCTGAGGGGAACCTTGTGCTCTGCTGCCAAGGCTGCCCACGGTGCCACCCCACAGCCGGAGCTGAACGGGAACAGGGCAGGAAAAAGCCTCTCCAGCCTGCAGATCCCAGCAGGGCCGGACAGCAGTGGGGATCTGGAAGTGGATTGTCTGCCTGGATCTTCTCTTTCTGAGGATGAGTCTGTTCTGCAACAACTCATGAGGGAGAAGGTGATTTCCGAGCTGGAAAATAAGCTGCACGTGTTCGAGAACATCGTGGCAGTGCTCAATAAAGAGGTGGAGAGTTCCCACATGGAAATCATGGCCTTCCGGAGGCAGAGCGAGCTGGACCAAAACATAATCCGAGGCCTTGAGCTGAAGGTAAATAGTTCCAATAAGAACTGTCAATGTCTTTATTCTGTGGACAGCAAATATTGACACGTATCAGTGAGAGGGATCAGGGCAGGGAGTGTGAGCTGGGAAGTGTTAAGTTCTGGACACATCTACGGGATCCTGGTGTTGTTTTGGATGAATTTTCAAGTGGGGATCACTAGTATTTGTTCTCTAAATCCACATTTAGGTACCAAGATATTCCTGAGGCTTTTTGAGCGTTCAGAGTTTGCCAGCATCAGACTGTGAGCAAGCAAGGCAGTTGTTTAATTGACTGATCCTCTTACAGCAGCAGTTTGCCTGGAGGCCCAAACAACCATCTATCCGCTTGTTTTGACGCAGAGCTGTCACTTGAAAAGAAATCAAAGGAGGATTTCAGAACAGGAGCACTTCAGAACGATTCAGCTGCTCCTGCAGCACAGCCTGGGGAGGGGGGGTGGCTGAGGAATGCTTTCTTTTTCCTCCAGATTGCAGAGCTGCACCGGTGCCTGACGCAGAAGGACGCGGGGCTGAGCAGCCTGCACAAGAGCCTGCTGTTCTCAGAGCAGGCCTCCTACGATGGCATCTTTCTCTGGAAAATAACAGACGTGGGCAGGAAGCTCCAAGACTCTGTGACTGGCAGGACAGTGGGGTTGTATTCACCAGGTAAAGCACGGGTCCGTGTGTCTGCAAACCCTCGTTCCTCCGGGACGCTGCTCCTTTCTGCTTCTGCTTTAAAACAGCTCCTTAAACCAAGATGCTGTTTGTGCAAAGACCTCTAATCCAGCTTTTCCAAAGAGTTGTGCTCTAGTCTGGGCTCTCCCTCTGCAGTTTGCCCTCCACCACAGCCACTTGCAGTGTCGTTTGCTGGATCCCTCCCTCCCAAGCCACAGCTCGATGCCTGTGGCACCACAGGACTTCCTGCTGCAGCTATTTCCCACGTGGGGAGTAATTGGATTAGGTAAAATACACTTGTGTGGCTAATAACAGGTAATTTTCACCAAGGCATGAGGCACTAAAAGGATTCCAACCACTGGAATTTCATTGCTTGTAACCCCCAGGGGGGACTGATTTGTCTGTTCTCCCCGTGAGAGCGAAACGCGGCACACGCCGCCTCTTCCCACGTGGCAGAAACGCTCATTAGGCCTCTTTGTTTTTCCAGAGGAGGCTTCACTAACGAAAAGTTCTGATTTTCAGCTTTCTACACTGCGAAGTATGGCTACAAGGTGTGCCTGAGGGTGTACCTGAACGGGGATGGCACAGGGAAAGGGACCCACATGTCCCTGTTCTTCGTGGTCATGAAAGGAGATTACGACGCTTTGCTCCCGTGGCCCTTCAGGCACAAGGTGAGAAGGGAAACCTTTCCATGGCTGATCCCAGCCTAAACCCACTGCTTCTCCCAGTCAGCACAAGGGGACTTTTTCCTCTGGTTTAGTGGAAGTTGGGCTGTTTTCCCATTTTCCCCTCCGAAGGCCATCCTGGAATCCTGGGTAATAATTTGTCTCTGACTGGAGTCACTTCCAGGGAAAGCTGCTCCTGCTGATATTCCCTAATTTGCCTGGTGGGATTTTCAGACACCACAACATGGTGTTTGAAATATTCCAGATATTCCAACCTATGTCCACCTGGGCTAAAGCCAGAGACACATTTTCTCCTGGCTCTTGCTAAACATAGATAATATCAATTTATGAGGGAATTTGCTGCCTGAAGGTGTCAGAAGGGTGAGAGTTCCACTTACAAAGGTGCCACAGATGTCTCATGTGATCCTGGTCTAATTTTTTCTCCTAAGTGTGGTCTGATAATGGCAACAGTGGTTAGAAAAGCAGTGAAACCCTGGCAGGGCCTGATCTCTGCTCTGTGTGTGGTAATAATTCCATAAGCCTTTCATATAAATAGCTTTAAACAGCTTTACTGCCTGTTAGCAGCCAAAAAAGCAGAAATCAAAGTTCCCAATCTTCACTGTATTAAAAGATTATTACATACATTTCATATTTAAAGCTAAAGAACAGTGAGTTAATAAAAGGGGTAATGAGATAGGGAGATTCTATACTGATATTTAGGTTGTGTCTTTTCCATATTCGTGCACAGGCAACTGAGCTGTTTCTTCTGACTCCAAACCACAATAACAGAATAAATGTAATGACTGTAACCAAACCCGAGGTTTGTTTAAGTTGTCAAGAGAGAGGAAAAAAAAGCCTTTGGACTGTGCAGTCCTCTACCAAGAAATAATGCCCTGCTTGATTTAATTGAATTTTGTTTGAGGGGTGGCAAAGTTTTAAACATTTCATCTGGGAACTGTTACAGTCCCCCTTGTTGGCATGATCTGATCACGGCTGGAAACGTTGGTCACAGTTTGTGTTCAACCATCAATGGAGCTTTTGCAGCTCTTCTGTCCACGGTGTGCGCTGGTTTATTTTTTTAACTCCAATAACCACCTCCTGGTTTCCCCAGGTGACGTTTATGCTGCTGGACCAGAACAACAGGGAGCACGTGATCGACGCCTTCCGGCCGGATTTGGCCTCCGCGTCCTTCCAGAGGCCGGTGCACGACATGAACGTGGCCAGTGGCTGCCCCACCTTCCTGCCCCTGGCCAAGCTGCAGTCCCCCAAACACGCCTACGTGAAGGAGGACACGCTTTTCCTCAAGTGCATCATCGAAACCAATTAGCAAACCTGGAGAGCTGGGAAAGCACCTGCTGAAGGGCGAGAGGAAACGGGGATGAAACCACCAGTTTGAGGCCTCGTGGTGGTTCCCGTGTGCACACGAAGCCCACTCGTGTCACCTGGAGATCCCCCTGTGCCAAGGGCTTCCCCCTGTGCACACGGAATGGGCTCCTGCCCAGGGGAATGGGATTATCCCACCAAAACAGCCGCTTTTCCTGGTTTGGGTGTCGGTCACAGTCACCCCCAGCCCCTCAGAGGGATTTGTGGAGAAAGCACTGTTGTTCCTCACACCCAGCCTGGGCGTGGGGGTGGTTCTGCCGGGGTTCCTGGCAGGGAGTGAGGCTCAAATCCCTTGGATTGACAGGTTTAGGGGGTGCAAGGGGGAAGCTGAGCTTTACCATCCTCCGGCAGCACCGTGGTGGCACATCCAGCTCCCTTTGCAGGAGGCACAGTTCCCCCCAAAAAGCCCCAGGGTGGGATTTTGGCTGTTCCCAGCAGGAACAAGGACAGGTTCCTTCCCCTGAGGCCCCCTTTGGGTGTCTCTGCCCGTGCTCATGGTGACCTCAGGAGTCCTGGGCAGCACTGGTGGCTCCAATCCCTGCCCCGGGCGATTCCTCCCTTCCTTTATTTTATTTAACCTCTATTTATGTGCCCTATAAAGAGATGTTGTGTTGCAGCAGTCAGGGACCAGATGACACTGTGCCTTGGGGGAATTACTCTTGGATTTCCAAAGGAGCTGTTTGACTTTCCCATTGCAGGTCTGGAGCTCTGGGGGTTGGAAACCCCTGGAAACCCAGAGCTCTGCTCCAGGCAGGATAGGGATCCCTCAGTGGCTTTGGTTTGAACTGTCCAGTCACTTCTTGAACCTTCAAGGCAAGTCACTTATTGGAAATTATTGATTGTTTTTTTATTGCTTCTTTTCACGTGCTCTGATGTTTAAGTCTTTTCACACCCCAAAACAGAAATAACTGCAGAAATGGTTTTTCCTTTTTTTTTTTTTAATAGAAGTAAGAAATTAATAATTATTTAATATGCAAGACCAGCTTGGGACTGTCTGGATGTGTGCAAAAGCTCTCATTTCTATCTTGACAACATCCTTTAAAATAATTAGTTGTGATAAAGTATCACATTTCAAAAACACCCACCCCATAAACAAATATTTATCAAAGCTCGTTTGGGAAGAAACTGGATATTCTTTGCCATCACAGACACACAGTCTCTCTCTCTGTCTGTCTTTTCCTCTATTCCATATTTAAAATGTCTTTCAAGGACAGAAAGTTATTTTTCTAGCCCCTGTAACCACACTGGAGTAATTTGCCTAAAAATATTATGCTTCTCGTGGCTGTATCACTTTGGCAAGTGCTGTATTTATTACAATCATTCATATTTTCTTACCATTTTATTTATTTCCTAAATAAAGCTCACTAACTTAAGAAAGGTTTGGGTGTTATTTTCCCTGTAAAACAGGGACTTGAGCAACTTGGAGATGTGATGATGGGGGTTTGTTATAGAAAAAGCTGAGCTGTGCTACAACACTTCCCTTCCTTCCTTCTTTCTGGGGGAAGGAAGGTCTCTTTAGAGCTCAGGAACTACAGCCATGCCCAGAACATCCATTCCCCTCAAACCTGCCCAGCTGGGAGAGCACTCACAGGCTCTTCATGTCTTATGCAGTTGCAAAGAGAGCTAAATTAAAAAAAAAGACGGATATGGATCAAATCCATGCTAAATAAATGAAAAGACATGAAACCCAATGCCTGATGCTCTTCCTTCCAAAGGCACAGCTGGCACAGGGCAGCTCAAATTCAGATTGAACCGCTCTGGCTCCAATTGGAGCCACACCTCGGACCCAACAACGTTGGATCAGAGTCCTCGGGAAGGGCTCCAAGGAGCTCGACCTGCCCCCTGAGCCAGGGGAGCCGGAGCATTACCACGGCCCTGTGGAATGTATTGAGCTGCTTTCCAAACACAGGGCTCCGCTCCCAGCCCTGGTGTTCCTGGAACTGCCTCCGGATTTTCACCCCCAAAGACCTTCGGCCGCAAAACCTCCCTTGGTGAGGAAGTGGCTGACACTTCAAGGAGCTGAAACCGGAGCGACAGCAAGAGTTCTCCAGTCCATCGAATCACTTCTGCTGCAGAAAGGAGCAGCCAAAGGGATTACTCTTTTTTTTGCCTGGATCAAATCAAAAGATGCAGGAAAATCAATGAGAATTTTATGGAGTTAAATCAGTACCGTTTGCTCCGTGTTTAATGGCTGGGTTGGCAAAGGGTCCCGGTGCTCCGGGAGCTACGACGCTCTGGAATAACCAAGGACAAGTTTTGTAGGGAAAGATCGTGTGTTTTTAGAAAGGACTAATAAAGCTGAATAAAACCAGGCAAATTTTAGGCTTATAAGCTTCAGGACATGAGCTCAAACCTTGCACACAGTGGCTTTGAGCTTAAATTGGTCGTGTTGGTCAATCAGATGCTTTTGGTGAAGAGGTGGTTGAGACCCTTGGAGCAGAAGGAAGCGTTGGCCGAGAGAGAGGGGGAATTATGTCAACAGCCTGGAGCTGCTGTGGTTGTAACCCCTGCCATTGCCATGGATGTATCCTACTGAATCTCCAGCTGGAAGTGGCACTTGTGAGCTGCCCAGCCGTGGGAAGGCAGATCCGATCTCCGTGTCAGGCCTGGAGCTCAGAGGCAGCTCCGTGTTTGGGTTTCCATTCAATATTCCTCGGCTTCGGTCTCCAAGGCTACAGGGCAACACACAACCCCTCCTCCCACCCCTGTCTTCAAAGAAAGAAAAACACTGTGAAAAGAGGCTGCAACGATTTCTGGGCAGTTTTCAAAGCCGGAGGGCAGCGCTGGGAGCTGCTCTCCCTGCACACTCGGCAGGCTCTGCTCCAGCCAGGGCTGTGCTCCTCCGGCTGCTCCATCCTCACTCCAGCAGGAGAGCACCTTGTCACCTCTGCAAGTGCAGGGTGTGGAGGAGCAATTAAGAGTTTTTAAGGGAAAACTGGGAATTTTGGAGTAGTTAACTACCTGGGCCTTCATTCAAAACCTTTTGCAAACGCAGGTTTTGTTTGGGAATTCTGTAGTGGGGAAGGAGCCGGGAGTCCTGCCCTGGGAGCCCACGTTGGCCACACTCCCTGCCTGAGGAGGGTGCAGGATTGCTGGCCCTCAGCTCGGTGGATGCTGTGGCAGAAGCACCTGCAAAGAAACCAGAGTCAAACATAATTATGTGGCTTCATTCCTGTCAGGAAACAGAGGATACATCTCAAATTTTTTTTTTTTAAAATTTAAATTTTTGTTTGGAGCTTTTGCCCCAGGGCAATGTTGCTGCGCTCCCTCCATTGGCAGGTGCCAGCTTTGGGGTGCCCTCTCTGTGCAGAGGCTTTTTAGGGAGGTTACTACTGATCCAGAGTTTGATTTCCGTGTCTCACCATCCGCATTCCTGTGGGAAACGACCAACCTGCTGCAAACATCAGCAAGGGGAGGGCTGGGCAGGAGGGTGGTGCTCCCTGAGCCCGTGGGGACAGGCTGGGACAGGAACGGTGCCCCGGGAGTGCCACAATCCACTGGATTTGGGGCAAATCCAGCAGCTCCGATGCAGCGGAGCGAGAAGTGGGATTTGTCTGAGGGCAGGGCTGTGGCGCAGGGGTTATTTTAATCCCGAGGTGACTCACGCTATCCCAGTGTGACTCACGTGGAGCTGGGGCCTGGGGCTAGTTAGAGGTGTGGCACAGCATGGCACAGGATGGCACAGCATTGCACACATGGCACAGCGTGGCACAGCATGACACAGTGTGGCACAGCATGGCATGTTGGACCACCTCCTTCACACCGTGCTGGGCTTTCCTTTTTGCACAGACCTGCACAGAAGGAGCAGAGCAGCTGCTCAGGGAACTGTTTCCCACCCCCTTCACAGGTGCAGCATCACGACACCCATGTTTTATGGGAAAGTTTGATTTAAAATATTGGTCCCTAGCAGACAGGCTTCCGTGTGTTGGAAAGGCAGCTCAGCAGCGTGCTGCTCATCCCTGGCACCTGGGGAGATGCTCACTTGCAGTCCAAGCCTTGTTGCAGGTGCGCTTGGAGCCCCAGCTCCTGGTGCTGCAGGAGCTCATCCATCACAGGCAGGAAAATCCCTCTGGACTCGGCTCACGCTTGGCCCAGACCCTGCCCCGGGAATCAGCTCCTTCACGGCCCGAGCAGCCTGGAAAACATTGCTTTTTCAGGAGCGCTTTCCAACAAACAGCAAATCCTTCAGATTTCTTCTTGGCATCGACCGAAGCGTTTTTTTTTTTTCAGTGATAGATTTTTCTCTGTTGAGATTCAGAGAAAGGCTGAAAGGCTGCTCCCGTTTCCAGGAATCCCGGCGAGCACAGGTCGTTCCCTGTCAGGACAATGCTGTGCAGGCACTGCCCGCGTCCCATCCCCGCCCGGCCCCCGATCCTGGAGGCCCCTGGGGTGCCCTTTCCTGGCTGCAGCCACGAGTGGGAGGAGGGGGACGGGCGGGGATGTCCCGCGGGTGGCGGGGGGTGCCGGTGCCTCTCCACGGGCGGTGGGTGCGTGGCCGGCCCGGGGTGCCCCGTCCTGGCCCCGGCGGTGCTGCCTGCGGGGCACCGGGCGGGTCCGAACTGAGCCAAGCCGAGCCTCTTTGAGCCGAGCCGCACCGGGGTGCGCCTTGCCGGCCCGGTCCGTGCCCTGCCGGTCTGAGCCGTGTTTGCCGGTCGGTGCCGTGTTTGGCAGTTCGAGCCGGTCCGGTCCGAGCCGTGTCTGCCGGTCTGAGCCCTGTATGCCGGTCCGAGCCGAGCCGTGCCGTGCCTGTGGATCCCGGTCGGTGCCAGCTCGTGCCGTGCCGAACCGCGTTTGCGGTCTGATCCGTGCGGTGCCGGTCCGTGCCGCTCCGTGTGATGCCGATCCGTGCGGTGCCAGTCTGTGCTCTCTTTGCCGGCCCGGTCCGTGTGATGCCAGTCCGTGCCCTCTTTGCCGGCCCGGTCCGTGCGGTGCCGGTCCGTGCCCTGTTTGCCGGCCCGGTCCGTGCGGTGCCGGGCGGTGCCGCGGGGATGCGCTGCGCCGCGGTGGGACCGGACCCGTGGGAGGCGGCGGGGGCGGCCCCGCTAATTGCATAACCGGGACGTCAATGCCGGCGGGAGCGCGAGGTTAGCGCGGGAAGATGGCGCCCCGCGCCCGGCCCCCGCCGCGCCCCGCAGCCCCCCGGCCCCGCGCCCCGGCCGCCCGCTGAGCGCACCCCGCGGTAAGGGCGGCGGCGGGGCCGGGCGGGGGGCACCGGGCATCGGGCGGGACGGGCGCACGGACGGACGGACGGACGGGCGGGGAGGCGGGCGGGCGGACAGACGGCGCCGCGGCCGCCTTTGAATGAGCCAATGGCGGCGGGGCCGCGGCCGCCGCTCGGGGCTGCCCGCGGGGACCCCCCGGCAGGTGCCGCCGGGGCACGGGGGGGACCCGCCCGGGAACCTCCGGCCGCCGCTCGGTCCCGCTGCCCGCCCGGCACGGGGGCGGCGTGGGCGCTGCCACACGTGTCCGCGGGCAGAGCGGGGGGAGCCTCGCGGGCAGCGGGGGCAGCCCCGGGACGGGAGCGGAGCCGCCGCCGCGCTCGGAGCCGCTCCCGCGCGGGGACCCGGCGGTGCCGCTGCCCGGACGGGTCGCGGCTCGTGGTGCGGCGCCGCTGCCCCGGGAGCGCGGGGCTCTGCCGGGACTGGGATCCCGCTGCCCATCCCGGGATGATCCCAGATCGGGAGGGTTCTCATGGATAGCGGGGTCTGCGCGGAGGGGGGGTCGGGTGGAGGTCCGCGGCGCGGGGCCACGCGTGCTGCCACGAGGCCACGTGTGTGGCCGTGACGGGAGCGCGGAGGGGAGAAAAGTCCCTCTCCGGTCGTTTCCGTGGTGTCTGTTGGGATCGCAGCTCTGCTCCTTCACCGCCTGCACCCCCAACCTCGTGGTGGTGTCACTGGGCCACCTGGGTGGTGCTGGCACATCCCTGCTCCCGCAGCACTCCCGGTGGTTTGGGACTCCGCAAAACTGCTTGGAATTTGTGATTTAAAAATCGCAGCGGATTTAAAACTTTTGTCCCTCACGTGCCCCTTCCCAAAACCGAGCCGTGTGTCCCGGTGCTGCCCGGCCGGGTGGCTCAGTGCTGTGGGAGCCGGGACTGTCGGGGGTTAATTCCCTAATTCCCTCTTGCTTACCAGTAGCAAAGATTTTGGCTGCTCCCTGGATTTCACGGAAAGGACCCGTCTCATCGGCACTTCGTTTTGGAGGTCCCGAGCCCCTGCTGGTGGGGCTGAAGCTGGGGCTTGGTCCTCCCAGGCAAAACTCTTAGGGATGCTGCGCTCGGCTGATGGGCTCGTTGTGTCGCATCGCGAGGGCGGGTGACAGCTTGTGTGTCCCGTCCAGGTGCTGCTGATGGAGCCCGCCAAGCTCAGCCCCCTCATCCGGGATGTCTATGCGGCCTCCGGCCGCGTCCAGCAGGCTCCGGGCGCCGGCTCAGCGCGGAGGGGCAGCGGCTGCCGGGAGCTCATGGTCCGGCTGACGGAGGGGCAGTACGTGCTGTGCCGCTGGACCGACGGGCTCTACTACCTGGGCAAGATCAAGAGGGTAACGGGGGCACCCAGAGGGTAACGGGGGCACCCAGAGGGTAACCGGAGCACCTGAAGTGGTGCCAGTGCCATTGCCTGGGTCAGTTCATGGCTCAAGGGGTTCTGACTTAGGCTGCAAAGTGCTCTTGGTCAGAGGGGTGTTTTTGGGTTGATGTCCTGCCCTGGGGTGTCGCGTCCCAAACCTGACTTCCTGTACCCCCGAGAGACAGGATCAGTCACCAGGGAAAACAAGGAAGTGCTGGGAATGGGAACTGAGACACCGTGGTTCTTCCTGCTCGTTCCTGCAGGTGAGTGGCTCCAAGCAGAGCTGCCTCGTCACGTTTGAGGACAACTCCAAGTACTGGGTCCTCTGGAAGGACATCCAGCATGGTGAGTGTTGCCCCATCCTCCCTTCCCACTGCCGTGCTGTGGGACCCTTCCCAGCACCGCAGGGACGTGGCTGTGCCTCGTGCATCTCCGGCTCTGCCCTCCCTGTCCCGCAGCCGGTGTCCCCGGGGAGGAGCCCAAGTGCAGCATCTGCCTGGGGAAGACGTCTGGCCCCAGGAACGAAATCCTCATCTGCGGGAAGTGCGGGCTGGGTGAGTGTGGGCACATCACCCCGGGCTCTGCCCCGTCCCACCCTGAGGGGTCTGTCCAGCCCCGTGGCACTGACATGGAGCCCTCCTGCAGGTTATCACCAGCAGTGCCACATCCCGGTGGCGAGCGGCAGCGAGGGCCCCCTGGGGACGCCGTGGTTCTGCCGCCGCTGCATCTTCGCCCTGGCCGTGCGGGTGAGCGGGGCTGCCCGGGGCTGGGGGGGCACGGCGGGGCAGGGTGTGTCTGTGCTGACCCCATCCCGCTCGATCCCTCGCAGAAAGGGGGTGCCCTGAAGAAGGGAGCCATTGCCAGGACGCTGCAAGCTGTGAAGATGGTGCTGTCCTACAACCCCGAGCTGCTGGAGTGGGACTCCCCTCACCGGACCAACCAGCAGCAGTGCTACTGCTACTGCGGGGGCCCCGGAGAGTAAGCGCCTGCCACGATTGGTTTTGTGGGGAAAAGATGAGGGTGGGGATGTTTTACCCCAGGAGAGAAGCCCCCAGCTTGCAGGGCACTGCCCTGGGCCAGCAGCTTTGCTGTCCGTGCTGCCTCTGCCATCCGGGTCTCCGCACGCTCCAGAGGCACTGTCTGCACCCACCCCTGGGGCTTCAGGAAATACAAGTTAGGGACAGACTTCCTCTCCCTGGCTGCAGGGTCTGTGCCTGGGAGGGGGCTGGGGGTGGTGGCTGCCACATGCTGCCCTCACTGTCACCTTCCTCCTGTGCCCAGGTGGTACCTGAAGATGCTGCAGTGCTACCGCTGCCGGCAATGGTTCCACGAAGCCTGTACCCAGTGCCTCAGTGACCCCATGATGTTCGGAGACCGGTACGTCCCCTTTGGCTCTAGAGGGGGGACACATCCCCAGCTGTACCTCCCTGATCCACCTGGCACTGACATGGACCAGCCACCCCAGGGCAGGCGGGTGGCCCTGTCCTGCAGAGCCCCACTCCCAGCTGTGCTGTCGCTGTTGGCACCCGGAGCACTGTCCCACCCTGACCCATCCCCAGGCCCTGCGTGGCTGTGGAAGTGACTCCCACTCCCAGCACTCTCTCTCCCTGCTGTTTTCCAGGTTCTACGTGTTTTTCTGCTCCGTGTGTAACCAGGGACCTGAGTACATCAAGCGCCTGCCCTTGAGATGGTAAGAAACAGGCCCTGGCTCCTCTGGGATGTGCCAGGGTGGCCAGGGGGCACTGGGCTGGCTGATCCCTGGAGGTGTTTGGGACCAGGCTGGATGGGCCTGAGAGCACCCTGGTCTAGTGGAAGGTGTCCCTGCCCATGGCAGGGGGTTGGAACTGGATGATCTTTAAGATCCCTTCCAACCCAAACCATTCTAGGATTCTATATTTGGGGTTCCCCTCAGCTGCAGGCATTGTACCCCCCCTTCCCAAAGCTCCAGGGATGCTGTCTTGGCTGTAGCATCCCCCAGGATGCACCTCTGGGCTGGGTTGCTTCCCCTGTGAGATGTGGAAATGGTCCCAGGTTCCAGTGGTGGGTTTTGGGAAAACCTGGGAGCTTGAGCAGCACTGGTAGAGCAGGGAATCACGGTGGGTACTGTCCTGTGGGGAGAGGGTGGGCTGCTGACCCTCTGCCCCCCTTGGCTGCAGGGTGGATGTCGTCCATCTCGCCCTCTACAACCTGGGTGTGCAGAGCAAGAAGAAGTACTTTGACTTTGAGGAGATTTTGGCCTTCGTGAACCACCACTGGGATCCGCTGCAGCTCGGGAAGGTACAAACACACAGTGGCAGAGCAGAGTGTCCCAGAGGGCAGTGTCTGTGGTGGAGGGTGGGACCCCTGAGCTGGGCAGAGCCTTTTCCTGGGGCTGAAGTGGGCAGGGGGTGAAGAGTGGGAAGGGACATGCCCATGTGTTAGCAGTGCCACTGTGCCAGCAGCCCCCTGCTACCGAGCTTGGGCACCTCTGCCAAACCCCAGCTCCTTCAGCACTTGGGATGGGTGGTTCCTGCTCCAAATGAGCTTAATCACCTTCCTCTGGGCTGGGATTGCCCTTGTTGGGGTGTCAGAGCTGACACGTTTCCCAGTTGGAGCCGAGCCGGGAGGAGCACGAACACCGAGGTGTGTTGGGAGCCCGTGCCTGCAGTGGGATGGGTCGGCTCCCTGGAGGTGCCAAACCCAGGCAGCTCTGGGCCTTGGCATCCTTCCCTCCCCAGCCTTGGGCAGGAGCTGAAACCCTGAGTTTGGGTTCCCCCATCTGTTTGGACTTTGTATAACCCCAGAGGGTGCCAAGCCCTCCTGACCCCCCCTCTCCCACAGCTCACGGGCACCCCCGTGTCGGAGCGTGGCCCCCACCTCCTCAACGCCCTCAACAGCTACAAGAGCAGGTGAGTCCCGGGCGAGGGGACAGGCTGGGATGCAGGATACAGGATGCTCCTGTGCCCTCTCCCCCCACCCCCGTGCTGAGGGCTGTTCCCTCCCCTCCAGGTTTCTGTGCGGGAAGGAGATCAAAAAGAAGAAATGCATCTTCCGCCTGCGGATCCGCGTCCCGCCGAACCCCCCCACCAAGGTGCTGCCGGAGAAGGGCCCCGGCGAGGGCGAGGGCGGCTCCTGCGAGCTGAAGAAGAGGGGGAAAAGCAGATGTGTCCACAAGGATGGGTGAGTGGCCACAGCTGCCCAGGCACCCCCTGCAGCAGTGCCCTGTGCCCGCTGCCCCTCATGCCCCTCTCTGCAGGCTGCAGCAGCACAAGCGGCGAGCGGCGAAGCGCAAGAGGGCCAAGTTCCTGCTGGAGGACGCCATTCCCAGCGTGAGTCCTTCTCCCCCTCCTCTGTGCAACTGTCCTGGGATTTGGCAGATGAGCAGGATCCCTGCAACCCCGTCCTGAGGCTCCCTGCAAGGTTTCCCCGCTCCTGCGGGCAGGGAGAGCCCCTGCCTCTCCCCCTGGGAAGTTGGCTTGGCATGGAATGCTTTCTGGGGCGGCGGGGCCACGGGCAGGAGGGTGGTGGTGCCAATGTGGAGGGCACAGGCAGCACCCCTCTGCCAGGCAGTGACGAGTGAGCTTGTTTTTGTGACACAGAGTGACTTCACCTCTGCCTGGAGCACCAACCACCACCTGGCCAGCATCTTCGACTTCACGCTGGATGAGATCCAGAGCCTGAAAAGGTCCGTGGGGCTGGGCCGGGGGCGTGGGGGGCCAGGGGTGCTGCTTGTGCCAGGCTGGGGCTGACACTGCATCCCATCCTATCCCATCCCATCCTATCCTATCCCATCCCCAGTGCCAGCTCAGGACAGACATTCCTATCAGACGTGGACTCCACGGATGCCGCCAGCACCTCAGGCTCGGCCACCACGAGCCTCTCCTATGAGTCCAGGTGAGGGCTGTGCCCTTTGCCCCCTCCCAGAGGGGTCCCAGTGGCACGGCCAGGAGGGCAAGGGGCTGCCCTCTCCCCCCACAGCACCCTCGTGTCCTGGCACAGGGATGTCCCACGTTGGGGAACCTTCACTCCCCATGTCCCAAACCGGGCTGGTGGTCCCAGAGCGGCCCTGCTTTGCTGGGCGTGCAGGGTCAGGGCCCTCAGTCCTTGCTGGGCTCCCCCAAATTCCTGGCATGGTGTGGGGCAGGGCATGGGGTGAGGGTGCTGCCCTCACCCTCCTCTGTCCCTCCCTGGCAGCCAGAGGACCGTGGGCAGCCGCAAGCGCAAGCTGGCAGTGCCAGCGTACGGCTCGGCGGGGGCGAAGCGCAGGGGAGGGGACGGGGGCGGGCGCCCGGCCCTGGGCACCCCCGAGGGCAGCGAGGCCCCGGGCGGCCCCGAGCGCCCCGACGACGGCATCGACAGCCACACCTTCGAGAGCATCAGCGAGGACGACTCGTCGCTCTCCCACCTCAAGTCGTCCATCAGCAGCTACTTCGGGGCCGCGGGCCGCCTGGTCTGCGGGGAGAAGTACCAGGTGCTGGCGCGGCGGGTGACGCTGGAGGGGAAGGTGCAGTACCTGGTGGAGTGGGAAGGCACGACCCCCTACTGAGCCCTGCCTGGCCCTGAGACCTCTCCCGGAGCCAAGCCAGAGGAGATCAGGGTGATGGGGAAGCCCTGGCCTCGAGGCAGAGGAGGGTGCTGGTTTCCCCCCACCAGGAGCCTCTGCGGGTGGAGGCAGCGCCCATGCTGGCACCGCCGGTGGTGCTGCCCAGGAATGGAACTTGAAGCCTTGACACTCTTTTTTTTTTTTTTTTTTTAATTTTAACAATTTTTAGTTTCTTGGCCAGTTGTTTTCCTGGCTGTGAGTGTGGCCCAGCCACACTCTCCTGGTGGAGCTTTTGGCTGAGCCCAAGGCACCATCACGGTGGTGGTAAGAGCAGTGGGTGGCTCTGGCCCTTCCAGAAGGGTCCCCCTGGCACAGCTGGGGAAGCCACTTCGGGGGACACCCCACAACCTGCTCGCACAGATGGACATCAAAGCCTGACTTATCCCTGTGTCCCAGCCTTACAGAGCAGCCTTGAGGGGGTCCTGGTGCCAAAGCACAAAGCCCCCCCTCACCCCAGTGCTTTCACAGCCCCTCACTGTGCCTATGGGAAATGAGGGGTGACCCTTGGGGTTTTCTGCCTCATCCTAAATCCATTTGTTAAAGGAATATAGTTTTAAATGAGGGGAGTAAACAGCCCACATGTAGCTTTCATGCCCCCAGGGCAGGCATAGGTGGCTGCTCTCATCTCACAACCCGGACTGCCTGTGATGCTGCACCAGCTTCATTTCCCTGTTCTGACAATCATGAGCCTGGAAGAGATTGGCCAAAACATCCTCCTTTGCCTTAAAGCCACCACGGGCACTTCACAGACTGGAGCCCGAGGCCTTTGTTCTCACAGGAGCCTTCACCCTGAATGTGCCAAACCAGCAGACAAACCAAAAAGGCTGAAGAGGACAGTGGGGACATGTGGAGGGGGTTGTGCCAGTGCCTCACTGGAGAGCAGTTGATGTTTGTGAACACGTGGGGTTGATTTGTCTGCAGGAGAGAAGGAGCAGTCCCCTCCTCTAACAAAGCAATACTGCCAGGTTGGGCAGGAGCAAAGCAGTTGGCTTTTTAAAAAAGATTCTAATATCAGATATATTTGTTAGATTTTTTTTTTCTTAAGAGATATATATATATATATTTTTAATGTTGTCCTCCTCGTCTCTCCGCCATCCCACCATGGCTGTCCCATGGGATGGAGGGTGGGTGATGCAGGGTGGGCTGGGTGCTCTTGCTCCATCAGCAGATCCTGTCCTGCAGCCCCATCACTGTCCATGCCTGTGCTTGTGGGATCTGCTGACCAGAGGGTGAATTGAAAAGGTTGTTTTACTGAAAAAGTATGTAAAAAAATTCCTCAGTGTAGTTGGCATGAGAGGCCAGGCGGCCTTTGCAAACCAGAGGCCAAAGTGTGGTCCTTGAAAGTAAACTTCTGCTGCAGCTACTGCTGAAATAACATAGTGGGATACCCGTGCTGTGGTGCAGCAGCTTCTCTGCAGCCTGGGATGTGGTTTGGGCCAGGCAGGAGCTGGTTCAGTGCCTGGAGAAGGAGCCTGAGTGTCTGGCTCTGGGTCAAAGCATTGTCACTCCTTCCTTGGGGCTGCCCAGGGCCGTGTGCCCGGTGCTGTGCTTGGGGGAGAAGCTGTTGGCCCCTTGTGCAGGGACAGGTTTGGGAGAGGAGGTTCTGTGCAGCTCCCAGCCATGGGATGGTTTGGGCTGAGGGGTCAGATGTGCCTTGGGGAGCAGAGCTTGGCACCCTCAGGGTCTGCATCCCGGCTCATCCAGAGGGGACCATCTCCGGAGGGACCCCGTCCTTTAGGGATATGTGTTACCAGGACCCCCATCCCTGGCAGGGAGGGGTCCAGCAGCTGGATCACTCCCGGTCCTGCCTTGGCTTTGTCACCAAAGGATCACTTAAAATATTTCCCTTCCTCGAGTGCCTCTGGAGCCCTGTGCCTGTGGAGCCCCTGCCAAGGGCTGTGCCAGGGCCGAGCAGGGTCATTCCTGCGGGATGTGCCAATGGGCATCACAGTCATGGCAGCACCCACAAGATGTGGCTCTGGTTCCTCCCTGTTCCTTCTCATTCCCTCCTGGCTTCTTGCAGAGAATTGAATGTGGAGCCTTTAAAAGTATTTTTGTTGCAGAGTATATTTTGCATTCGCTGTAATAGAGATTATAACGACTCTGTGCACCTTCTGATTTCTGAGTTCAGGTTGCTGCTTGTAATAACCAACTCTCGTTATACCCAAGTTGTAATTAATATGTCTGATGTTCTGATGTACAATTAAAAAGTCCTTTTTTTTTTTTTACAACACTTTTATTTTGTGTTGTGAGGATTATTGGGTTTGGGCTCTTGGGGGGATGCCCAGTGCCCACCATGGTGCTGCTGGGTCATGTTCTGTGTCAGGTGAGGGGTGTCCTCCCCTGGGAGGTGCTGCTGGGAAGCACAGGGACAGAAGGGTGGGAAGGGATGAGGGTGGGCAGTGAGGGAACAGCAGGGGACAGGGACACTCCTTGCAGGGATGGGTTTTGTAGAGAGGGGCTGCCTTCATTGGTGAGGTCCCAAATGGCCCCATCCACTTAATCTTAGCCTAAAACTGGCCCATTGCACACGTAGCCCTGACAGGGCTAAACAAAGCTTAGCTTTGGGTGCGGTGCAGGTCTGGGGGGGTGGTGCTGCCTTCATGTGCTCTGTTCCTTTTTGCCAGACAAGGGGCCTTGCTGGTGCCCTGTTCCTTCACATTTGGCACTGCCAAGTTTCCTCCTCTCAGAGCTCAGACCATTTTTCCTCTTGGCTTCTCTTTCCTGCCCCCGTGAGCCTTCCTTCTGCTTCCTCTCATGGCTGATGGGGCCACACAAGCCCACAGGCACAGCTCCCAGTGCCTGCAGAATGCCCTGGATTTCTTCTCCAGGGACCTGGAATGAGCCAGGTGGGAGTATCTGTCAGCACTGGTCTGGAGAGAGTCACTGCAAGCCCAGGACAGGCCTTTCCTCCTGCCCAGCTCACTGAGGACACCACACAGCAAACTGTGACCACACCTGAGCCTGCCCAGGTAAGAAACGCTGCTGCTTATTCCCTTCCCAGTCACATAAATCCTCAATATTCTATAAGTCCCACTAAACTATTAATGAGCATCTTTTTACAAGGTTAAGCTTGGCCTGGGCAAAAAGCCACCGTTCAGGCTGGGTAAGGAATGCAGGGCTGGGGTAAGGGATGCAGGACTGGGGCAATGTCCTGGTCCTGTTGGCACTTGGGTTCCCTGGACTGGCCATGGAAGTTGCCCAGCTCATTCCAGCTCTCCCCAGCTCATCCCAGCTCCCCACAGTTCATCCCAGCTCCATGGCAGGGTCACATCTGTGCTGCTTGTGGCTCCTGGTAGTTCCTTGCGGCATCTGCTGGAGTTTGCTGCTTCCTTGGATCCTGTGAGACTCCAGCAGCACGTTTCCTGACAGCGGGAGAGGGCGGGAGCCGCACGTCGCGGGGTGCCCGGCCACATCCTGCTGCCTCGGGGCTGGGGAAGCGGGAGGCAGAGCGGGGCAGGATGCTGGGAACGCCGCTGTGGGGGAACAGGGGGGCCAGGCAGGGTTCAGGCACTGGCTGTGGGCACACATGGAACTGGAGGGGCTGCCAGGCCATGGCTTCCATAGGGAATTTGCTGCTGGCAGCCTGAAAGAGCCCCCAAATGCTGCAGCGTCCTGACACGAGCATCTCTGTTTCCTCATCCGCAACGGTGCAGGGCCTTTCCCTCTTCAGCCTGCACCAGCTCTGGGCTGCTCAGTGCTCCCTGGTCAGGCCAAGGAGGGGATGTTTCCAGAGCAAATGAAATTCCCAATCCCAAACTCCCGTGTTACAGCAAACCTAAGAAGGCAGAAGCTGCCTCCTCGCAGGTAGGTCCTGCCTGCCCAGGGAGACCCGCGTGGCTCAGCAGGGCCCACCCAGTCTCCCAAAACTGAGGTGACCTTTCCAGTCAGTCCCGTGGGACGTTTTCCTCGATCCATTTGAGGTAGAGAGGGTTTCCTTGGTCAATAGGCAGGCTGATGATCTCGGGGATTTCAAAGGGATGGATGGATCTAAAGTGGAAACAGCCGCGGAGGAGCAGTGTCAGCACAGCTCGGCACAGGAAGCCGAGCTCTCGGCTCCCAGCCGCTCATCCCAGCCCTGCCCCGCGCTCCCCACGGACTTCAAAGCACCCGCAGCTTCTTTTTGCCATGTGGGAATTTCGCTTTGAGTTTGGGGTTTACCACAGGCAGCAGCCCAGCGCCGGGGGTCTGGCCCAAAGCTGGCTGTGCTCGCCCCTCGGGGCTTGGGGAGCACAGGAAATCCTGCCAGGGAATAACCTGTGTGAGGAGAAGGGGGATCCCTCCTCGTATCCAGCATGGAGGGGCTGGTTGAAGCCCAACAGTTGGTATTTCTGCCAACCTTTTCTTTTTTGCTGCTGCCACCTCTGGGTTTTTCTGGCTCACAGGTACAGTGGGAGCACTTCACCACACCCTGGGTGGGAAGGGGCTCAAGGAACTCCCAAACCCGAGCAGGAGAGGACAGCCTACCTTGGATTGGATACCCAGTCTCCCAGAGCCAGAGCCTCACCTGACATAGTTGGACAATTCCCCTATTTTGGACGTCCTGGTTTTCACTATCTGTGGAGAGTAAAAACACCAAAACAGAACCCAAGGGAGATTGGAAAGGGACAGAGAGATCCTGCACCTGCAGTTCCACTGCTCCCAGCCAGCACTGCCATGCCCACAGACAGGTGTTTGGGATCCCTGGGTACATTCCAAACCACGGGCAGGTTGGTGCCACCCTCCCCAAACCTCCCTGCAGCCCTTTCCTGCTGGGGCCATTTGTGACGGGCATTTTGTGAGGTGGGGAACGATCACTTACCAGCAAAATTTCAGTGGATTCTTCCAGTTCCCCTTTCCAGAAATACCTGGATTTGAAAGAAAAGAAGCATCAGCAGATACAGCTCTGCCTGCAGCCCTGCCAGGCCCTCCAGGGGTTATTTTCCCTGCTTGGTGCTTTCTGCACGTGGCCGTTTCTTTACAAAGTGACTCAAGAAGCATCGCTGGCCCCAAAACTGCTGAGCACGCGACTGAGCACCCCAAATTTATGGACCAGAGACTCCTTGGCTGTGCCAGCCTCCAGAGAGCTGCCCAGGGGGGATGCCAGGGCAAATTTACCAGGACTGGGGTGTCCGTGGGGGGCTGCGGGGGTGGCCCTGCCCTGAGCAGCGGCCGGGGGACGGCGCCTGCAGGGATCGTGCTTGGGAGCATAAAACACGGCAGCATCCCACTTTCCTCCCCTCCTTCCCTGCAGGAGAGGAGATGCACTTCTCATGAGTCAGAGATGACCTTTGCAAGCACTGCCAGAAGGCCGTGGTGATTTCATCTGCGTGCTGGGCTCCTGCGCCGGGAGGACTCGGAGGCGTCGCGGTGTCTCCCGAGCAGGGCCCGGAGCAGAAACCAGCTGGAGCAGCCAGGGCTGTGCAGGAGCAACTCAGCTCGGGCTGTTGGGGCCCATGGGGAGTGAAGGATGAGGGGAAGAAGGTTATCATTGGGTTTGCCCTAATTCAGCAGCCTCTGCCTGGCTATGGGAGAGCCTGAGGGGTGCACTGTGAGGACCCCTCCGGCAGGGAGGTTGAGGTGGGATCTGCTCCCCTCTTCTGGCAGGGCCAGGGTGTTCCTACGAGGAAAAATCTGGTTTCGGGCTTTGCTCTTTAACCCCTCTAACAAGTGCAATCCCTTTGTGTGGACGGCTGAGGGCACCTGCAGAGCAGGTTGTGTTTCAAGGTCAAAGACACTGGTCTTCCTTCCTTCCTGAAAGTGCTGCTTAAGATTGTAAAGGCCTTTTCTGGTCCCTCTCTGGGCTTCTTTTTAGAGCCTCTAATAACAGGCACCATGTCCTCAGGACCATAAATCCTAGATTGCTGGATCTCCCTGTAGCCAAGTAACCAATAAACAAATGGTCCCCACGGGCAGTTGGAGCATCTGCACTCCTTAATAAGCCTGGAGCACCGGGAGGCTCCTCTCCCCCATCTGCACCAACAAACAGACCCAGCAGCCTTCTGGAAACTGCCTCCTCTGCCCAGGGCCATGGGGTGTCCACCTCCTCCTTTCCTCCTGGGAGAGCCTGGGTTTGCCTCCTCCACTGGGGAATGTTGAGCCCAACTTACAAGGCCGAGCTCTTGGGCAGGATGTTCACCTGGGCAGCCAGCTTCTTATCCATGATGGCCCTGGGGGAGACAGGAGGGGAGTCAGTGCCAGCCCAGCTGAGTGCCCAACCCCAGATATTCCCTCATGCTGCCCTGGACTGCCACCAGCAGCTGTTACATAAGGAGACATGGAATTTTGGGTTACTTATTACCCTGAGAAAGGTGAGGCAAAGGTGACCTTCAACTGGAGCTGCTTCAGCTCAGGCCCTCCTGACAGGGTTCTGGGATCCTCCCTGCTGTCCCTCTGTGCCAAGAAGGAAGGTTGGGTGTTTCTCCTGGCCTGGGTGGTGCCAGGACCCTGCCCACTGTCATCCCTGTGCCCCCCTGGCTGTGGGGACACCAGGACAGGGACTGAGCCATGGGGCCACAAGAACCGGGGCTGGGATGGACGGGAAGGGGTTTGTCTCCAACTCATGTATTTACACTGTCAAACTGTGCCTCTTCCTCACAGAGCAGCCTCAATGTGGATCTTGTTAAATTAACAACATCAAGGTTTTTCTACCCAAAATGTCCTAGAAATCTGAAGCCCAAACAAATTCCTTCCCTCCGGCTGCCTCCGTTACTTGTGGGCTGGTTTGTTATTGCAGAGCTGCCTGGCTCTGCCAGCAGAAGTGATATTTCAGTGATTAGAGAGTACTGAAGCAACCTCAGGGTGGATTTTTAGAAGAAAGGGGCAAATGATGTGTTTTGTGACCACAGCAATGCCTGGCCCTTCTCAGGGAGATGCAGCCCCAGCCCTTGCAGGGACGTCCTTTGGGGCACTCAGTGACCTCACCTTTGGTTTTCTTTAACACTGACCTCCCCAGGAACTACTTTGTACCAAGGGCTTTGGCAGTGCAACATTTAACTTCTAGAGGACCCTCAACTGCAGAAGAGACATTAGTTATCAGATATTGGAGGGCTTCATTCAACAACCTGCAAAAATTTACTCTTGGTGAGGTAAAGAGCTAAACCCATTCCAAGTAATTACTGCTCCAATTCAAAACTCTCTCCAGAATGTTGTAAGTTAAAGTTTTTTTATCCTTACATTCAAGGTATGGTACAACCTGGAGAAGACTACAAACAGACTCTAAGGAGCTCTTTGCTGGGAGGAAAGCAACCCCTCCCAATGATCC